ATCCAAAAACCCAACAAGACTAAGTGACAGTAACACCAATAAACAATTAATCCTGTGCTGACTATTATGAATTAATAGGAGACAAAGTTGACCAAAATATTAAAACAAACATGCATTGAAAATGTACGGGCAGAAGCGATTATATAAAAAAATAACTAGTAACACAGAAGAAGTGAGAGGAAGAAGACTGATACCCTAAACGAAACAAAATGAAAAACAAAGAAAACTGACTGAAAGAGAAAGAACAATGGGCATACCTAAGAAGCAATCAGACCCTAGCTTTGAAAAACTTCGAACCTTCGACTTTTGACCGAAATGGGCCTCAATTGTGTATTCTCAAGCGAAAACACACAACTGAAGCCAATTTCGACCTCAAATCTTCGAACACTTGACGATTTGGATTTTAGGATTTAGAGTTCGTCTTTTCAAATTCAAATTCGAGAGGTTTCAGGGGTATTCGAGGGGAACTGATATGGGATTTATCATGAGGGAGGCGTGGGGGTTTCAGGGTGTTAATTTGGGAGCGATTAGGTGGTGACGCCACCGGACACGGCGGAGGAATCCATGGCGGCGCCCTAGGGTTTGGGGATTTTGGAGGGTTCCGGTGGGATTCGAAAGGGGATATTGGTGTCATGGGCATGCAGAGGAGGAGAGGGAGAACTGGTGTGATTTTGGGGGTCATTGGACGCCGGCCGCCGCCGTATGCGATTTCTTGCTGGCGGCAGGCGGCAGTAGAAGGCGGGGCTTAGCTGGTCTCGTGAGAGGTGAGAGAGACGAGGGGGTAGGGGGTTCTGAGGGGGGTAGGGTTCGTTTGGACAGTTAAATACCTATTAGAGACCACTTCAGGGCCGTTGGATCTCCTTACCTCGACGGTCCTGATCATCTTAGACGAAACAACGTCGTTTTGGGTAAGGGGAAGGGACTGGACCGGGTTGGGGTGTGATTGGGCCGGGTATTTCAGGGGCAATGGACTGGGCTGGCCCAAATATGCCTTGTTCTCTTCTTTATTTTATTTAAATTACCAAAATTCCTTTTCCTTTTCTTTTTCTTTTCTTTTCTTTTCAAAACTAAAAACCCTAAATTAATTCTAAAACTAAATTATCCTACCAAATCATACTAAGCTCTAATTAACAATCAACACTATTAATAAAATACCAATTTAAAGGAAATTCACAAAATTCGAAGCTAAAAATTAAACAAAGCAAAAATAATTCAATTTTTGTGATTTTTTGTATTTTTGTAAAGTCCTAATTACTACTTAATCTAAAAATAGGTAAAATTAGATCCTAAATGCAAATGCAGTGCATATTTTTGTATTTTCTTATGAATTTATGTTAAATTAAAAATGCACACAGAAATGCAAATAAACATAGAAATTATTCAATTAATTCCTAAAAATTAAATAATAAAAAGAAAAATCCTAAATCTATGAGTTCTGTAGGAGTAAATCATGCGAGGCAAAAATCACGTGCTCACACATAGTATATTTCCTCTTTAGATACCTCTGCCACCAGTTGCAATTGTTATACTCTATTCACCAATGGGACATCTCTCATTACTAATGGATTAATAGCAGGCAGTTCTGCAGCTGAGGATCCTAATAATTGCTGGTAGAACCCTGTCACTTCCTCCTCATTTCCTTGCTTTGTTTGTACTGTATCCCCATTGCCCTTTACTAATCTCCTAATTTTGTTCGGAGCGTATCTGCTCTTCATGTTTGCAAAGAAGTATGTTGTATTAGCATCTCCTAGCTTCAACCACTTTACTCTTGATTTCTGTTTCATAATACTTTCCTCCACCCCTAACCATTTCTCCAATTGTAATTTCATGTCTTTCTCTGCTGCTACCATAGCCTCTGATTGCCCAGGATCCTTCATTTGTTCTTGCATGTCACTTAGTTTTTGTCTGCACATTTTGATTCGATTGCCAATTGCATTATATTCAACATTATTTAAATTCTTTATAGTGCTTCACTCTTTTCAATTTTTGCCATGTATTCTTCATATTGTTCTGTTCATTTGGCCTCTCCCATGCTTCACTTACTAGAGTCATAAAGTCTTTATGCTCTGTTAAGTGATTTAGAAATTTGAATGGCTTAGGAGTGTAATCTTCATCCTCTTCCAGTGTTATGCTCAGTGGGGAGTGATCAAAGCAATGTGGATCAATAACCCATACTTCTAGGTGTGGCATGGCCAGCATCCACTCACCATTAATCAAAGCTCTATCAATTCTGCTATAAGTGTGCCCATTAGTTCATGTAAAGTTTCTTCCACTAGTTTTCATTTCTATTAAGCCAGTGTCTTCAATGAACTCATTAAAATCTCTAATTTCTATTTCTTGTACAGGGTTACCAATTGGTCTCTCTTCACCTGATCTGATGGCATTATAGTCACCCATTATCAACCATGGACCTTGTTGCATGGATTGTAGGTTTGTCAGTTCACTCCATAAACTTCTTCTATCCTCCAAGCTATGTAGCTCATAAACATATGTAAATGTGAATCTCATATTCAACCTCCTAATATGTACTGAAACATGTATAAGTTGAGATGATCTTGCCAGCTCCATACAGTCTATTTCATTTGTATCCCACAGCAACCAGATTATACCTCTACTACTATATTCATAGTTATCTAGCCATGCCCATCCGGGAGTGATTTTCCTTGTTATTTGCATAGCCTTCTGCTCCTTTATTTTGTGCTCTAATAATGCAATCATATGAACTTTATTACTTTGTATGAACCACTTTACCTCTTTTTGTCTAGGCGTTTTGTTTAGTCCCCTTATGATCCAAGTTACCAGCTTCATACAGGTATAAAGAGAGATTGTGAAGGCCCATCCTGCCCAGTATTGCCTCGATGCCTGCTTGCTCCTTCCTCCATTTGCCTTGTTATTGTTAATTGCAGCTTGGACTCTGTGAAGAGGTTAAACCCATTGATCACATTAACTGTATCAACCTTTTGTCTCTTTCTACTTCTAACTGCTAATTTTCCTATAACTGTCTGCCATGCTTGTTCCTCATCGCCTTTCATTGCTCCTACACTAGTACTAGCATTTTGTGCACTAGTACTAGCATTTCCTTCAATTCTAGGAGGTGCCATCTTTTGTTTCCCTTTATCAACTATAGGTGCTTCTTGTACTTTAGGCACAAGTTTAGGCTGCCATTCCTGCTTCTGCTTCTGATTCTTTGGCTTGGGTTTTGGTCCTAACTGATCTTCTGCTCTACATTTGCGGCCTACTTGCATACTTTTGTTGAAGAATTCAGGAACCCAATCATATGTTATCTCCTGCATGAACTCCCTTTGGATCAGTTACCTTAATGGAACTAGGCAGTTCTTTAGTAACATCCATCTCAACCAACACTCTAGCATAAGAAATCCGATCTATTTGGGTAGTGCAATCATCAGCATATAGGGAAATTCCCAAGCCACTGCTCAGTGTTATTGTTCCAATAATTCAAAGGCAGATTAGGGTAGTTGACCCATACTGGAATGGTCTGTAAAACCTCTTTGTTGAAATCAAAGTCAGCAGACCGCACTTTCATAATGATATGTTTATTATTCAACATGTGAGGCCCTGAGTACAACACTTCATCCCTATCTTCAATGGAGTTAAATCTTACCACATAGTATCCATCATTGTGAAAGTAAACTTTAGGCTTTGCTGTGAAGTTCCAAGTTGAGGCAATATATCTTTCCATGGCTCCTATAGTTGGAGCTCCTCCAACAACATACAGAATTAGTGCTTGTTTCCACTTCTGAGTTTCCTTCTCGACTTCTTCCTTGCATAGCTCCACAATTACCTTACCATTTTTGAGAGTTGGAGCAATAAAACTTAGATTCATTTCCTTCGCTGCAAGCTTAGATCCCATGAATAAATTTGCCCACTGTTTTTGACCTGTCTCGACATCAGCAGTTGGCAAATTCACTTGAGTTTTATTCGCCGCCCCTGTATCCCCAATTACCCTCAATTCTCCAGTAGTTGTTATAGAATTCATATCAATTGTCTCAACTTTACTGGCACTAGGGTTCACATGTTTCATCAGACCTCCAGAATCTGCTTTATCACTATTAATGACCTTATCAGGTGAAGTTTTCATACCTTCCTTTGTGGCTGACAATGGCGGCCACTGTTCCATTGATGTTTTCCCTGTTTCTCTGACTGTACTGATCTCTATTCCCGGACTTTGACTGCCCGTTCCTGTGTATTCAACCAATTGGATCATGGTTGCATTTCTCTTCGGCCTTCCCTTCCCATTTGCAGGCCAGCGTACGTTAGCACATGCACTCTATCGTGCGCTGAGAGAGAGAGAAGAGAGCTTTCCCTTTACAATTCACATATTATTTTGAGTTATGAGCACGATACATAATAATTTTGGCTAACAGTATAACTAAAACTGAAAATTCTAAAAAGATAACCAAAAGTGAATAACATTCAAAAATTAAAAGAATAAATTCAATAATGAGACTAAGACACGGTAACAAATGAGACAAAACCCTTAAGAAATAAGTAATAGAGAAGATATGAAAATTTAAGCGAAAGAGAAAAGAACTCTATATTGAGAAAGAGACGAAAAAGGAGAATCTATATATATATATATATATATATATATATATATATATATATATATATATATATATATATATATATATATATATAGGTTGGAATAGAAAAGGTGACTTGGCACCTCTCATTGGCCAATAATTGTATTTATCTTTTTTTTCCTTTTTTTGACCTTTTTCACTACTTTTCATTTGTCTAATAATAATAATAAGATATATTATTGTAATTATAAGAATTCATTTATTAAAAACATTATGAATTTAATTATAGCTCCATAATGAATAAGGGAAGAGAGAAAACATCAGTTTCAAAACCAAAAGAAATTCGTTTTTGACTTAGCAAAGGAAGGAAATTACAACCTTCTTTAATTTCTCAACCGTTACAACTTTCCTCCATAATAAAAAAGGAATGATTCAATAGTCTTCCTTGCAACCTCCTCCTATTCAATATTTTCTTGTGATGAATGAAAATTCTGGTGGCGAAGCCTCTATTAAGGTATAATTATCTACTTTCCTACTCAATATATTTTTTACTGTACATTGAGATGAGAATATGTTGGTTTCTCATTTGATATGACCCATCAGTGCCTTTACAATAGAAAGAAATTATTGAAGGAGAGGAAGTGACTATGGAAGCTCAGATGGAAAAGCTCATGGACGGTTTGAAGCTTCATGTTTGGTTGGTGTTAGATTTTCAGGTTTTCTATTTAAGTTTCAATTTGTTTTTTTAATTTTTCTATCACGGGATTTATATTTATTTTTCTCAACTTGTGTCATAGTCGTCGAAGGTAATTATGAGAGCATCAAGGTCCAAGGAACAAGAGGACTTGGTCCTTGCACAAGAACTGCGGATGCAACTCGATATCCTTCAAGAGACGATAGAACACAATTGGCGCCATCTGTTTTTTTTCCATAATATTTGTCTCAAGAATAAGAAATTCTTCCTATGAAGTTTGAACAGTTGTAATAGGTAATTTATCCATTGTTTTAGTTCATAGAAGAATCACGATAATATGTTTATTACTAAAAATATGAATTTTCTTTTACAAAAATTAAGAAATTATAAATTAGTCTTGTCACAATTTACAATTTAAAATTGTAGCATCACAAGTTTGGAGTGCTTGGTATAGACATCTTTTATTCGCCACTAATTATATGAAGAAAATATCTTGAAATATTGTAAAAAAAAAAAAAAGGGAACAAGAATCCTAAAATATTTGGTTAACGTCTTTACTCCACACTAATAATGTGAAAAGGGAAAAAGGTTGTCTTTGATATGATCTTGTAGGATAAAAGAAAGAACAAAAAGGGACCATCCATGTTTATGATAAATTCCAGATAGAAATGATTTTCTCCTTCTCATTTTTCGAACTTAATGCTTCAAAGTTCGGACTTAAAGCTCTTTTTTTTTTGTCTGAAGGATTACTTTCCTGGAAATTTTAGGATGAAGAAGAAAAATTTTAATTTTTTTTTTTTTTGTAGAGAATCTGGAGAAGAAAGTGGATATTGTGGACATTAAGGAGGAGCATAGTTTAATATTTTTTGGAGTAACCCAGGAAAGAGGGAGAAAATAGACGAAAAGAGAAGAAAAAAGAAAGGTCAATAGAGGAAGTACCGATAGTAAAGAAGGAGAAAAGAGAAATATTAAGAAAAATTGAGAGGGAAAAAATTACTTTCCGAAAATGAGAGCTTATGTAGGGGATGAAAAATTTAGGGGATTATAGAGTAGAATATGAATAGAAAGAAAAAAAAAAGAAAAGAAAATTTTGTACACGTGGACAAACTATTCATTCACCAATAATGTAAAATCACATTTATAATACAACACATTACATTATGTATAATCTTATATTGCATTGTTCGTCCCCCGATTTCACTTATATACGTGTACACGTGGGCAAAATATTCATTTACCAATAATGTAAAATCAAGTTTATAGTACAATACACATTACATTGTGTACAATCTTATATTGCATTGTATGTCCAATTTCACTTATGTATATAGTAAAAATTTCTTAGTTAATTTTTGTCAATCTTCTTCTAAATCCTCCATCACCACTGGGCCATTAGAAGGAAAAATATGAATTTACTCAGGGCTTTCGCATAACTTCTTTAGCCTTTGGCTCTTTTGTTATCTGATCTTGAACATGCTTGTGCTCATTCACTATTTTGTGTTAATTTTGCAACTGCTAATGGTATTAAGAAGAATACAATAAGAACAAAGATGCGGTATATATATGAATAAAATTCTAAAAAGGTCAGTGATACATTTCTATTCTGCCAATTAGTTTAGTTCCCTTTAGCTTACTTTTGATCTATGTTGGAGTTGGCAAGACGAGTTACTTTAGATTTTTAATAAGACAAATTTTCCTAATTTTGAAGACTTAACTTGGAAAAAATAATAATTGGTTTTGCAGTAGGGCAAAATGAGGTTGATGAAAGTCGAGAATCGAGATGAGCAAGTTGAAGAGTAGATTATTTGACGCAAGTTGAAGAGTAAGTTTTGATAGGTTATTTTAAGCTAATTTTAATTTCACTGCTCATATGCTAAATAATATGAATTAATTGTTGATAATGAGTCGAATTTGCAGGGATATTCATTTTTCTTAATGAGAGCAAAAAAAAAAAAAAAAGAGACAAAATGAAACTTGAGACTGTTCGCAATAAATTTTCGTAAGACGAAAAAATAAACTGCAACAAAAATAATAAGAAGAAAAAGTGATTTTATTGATAAATATTTGTGAGTACAATTCTATGTATCCCTTGATTCTCCTCTCTAAAATTCTCCATGATTCGAGGGTTTGAGAAGCGTCTTTCTCGAATGTAGGATGATGCAGATCTCCTTGTGATGTATTTAATCGCCAAGAACGTCGAGCAACACTTTGTTGTTACGGGTTGATCTCCGGGAAGAACTCCGTTGATCACTCCTTTGTTGAAGAACTAAGCACTTGATGATTGATCTCTATGTTTGTGGATGCCCTCACCAACTGCGGAGTGTTCTTCTCCAACTCTGAATGTCCTTTGAGAGTTATGTAACTCCTCTATTTATAGTTGTAGAGGATGGACAGTCAAGCTACATAAGAACTCTCTTACTTGATTTTGATTGGTCCGTGTCATTTTAGCCACTTGGCGACTTGTGGTTGGTTCCTGCTTTTTGACTTGGATTGCCACATTATTTAACATGTGGCGTCACCTTATTGGCCTGGAGTTTGACCGAATATGCCATGTCACATGGCATAAGTCTGAGCCTTAAAATGAAATGGACTTTGGGCCTGAAAATAATAACATGGACTAATTTAACTTGTAAAGCCCAAATTAATTATTTAACCCGATTGAATTTAATCCAAATTTTGTATGGATTAAACCCAATAAATTTTATGTGTCTACAGTTCACATAAAAGTCATGCACTCATTTACAATGAATGAAGACTCTGTGAACAGTTGGTTTTTGAATTTTTCTGGCACAAGCTTCTATTATAAATCCCTTCTATAGTCCTTCACTAAATTCACTTCTCACGGAACTTGTATAATCCCTTCTGATATTAAACTTCTAATTACTCGCAAAAATGCTTGCAGCTAAACTTAATTCTAACACTTCATTTTGTACTCTCACAAGGAATTTTATTGGCATCATTGGTGCTAGAAAATTACTAAATATTTATTTTGCGGCAAATGTGGCTACTGATTATCAAGGTGGAAATAGATGACAACAATGCTGGTGGATCTGTTGCGGATGAACCACACGTGGTTTCAAGGCTTTATATATTAATTGACTTCGTATTTTTAAATTTTGTATGCAAATCATATGGTCTCTACNCCTCTAAACGTTCTTCAAATTGTTGATTATGACTTTGTTCGTTGATTCTGCTTGCCCATTGCCTACTGGGTGATAAGGTGTAGATGTGATTATCTTAATTTGCCAGCTCTCAAAAAATTCAGTGACTTGAGCTCCGATAAATTGAGGGCCATTGTCGCATACAATCTCCTTTGGTACACCAAATCGGCAGATGATATTACGCCAACTGAAGTCTTTGACCTCCTTTTCTCGTACCTGTTTAAATGCTTCTGCCTCTACCCATTTAGTGAAGTAATCAGTAAGTACGAGCAAAAAATTTACCTGTCCTTTTGCTTGTGGTAATGGACCCACGATATCCATTCCCCACTTCATGAATGGCCATGATGATATGACCGGATGTAACAACTCCGCAGGTCTATGCATGTTGTTACCGTACCTTTGACATTTATCACATTTAGCTACAAAACTTTCCGCTTCTTCCTCCATTTTAGGCCAGTAATATCCTGCTCTAATCAAGGTTCTTACCAGTGATCTTCCTCCTGCGTGATTCCCGCAATGCCCCTCATGTATTTCCCTCATTACATACTCCGTTTGAGAAGGTCCGAGGCGTCTTGCTAATGGACCACCGAACATCTTACGATAAAGACTCCCTTGTTTTAAACAGTAACGAGCAGCCTGTTTTCGAAGTGCATGCGCTTGCTTCTTGTCATTAGGGACGGTACCATACTGTAAAAAAGCAACAATTTCGTTTCTCCAATCCCAAGTTAAATTATTAAAATTTACCTCATTCTTATCTGGACTGAGAACTGAGTGAAATAAATGTATAA